AGATAAAAGAAAAACTATTTTAATCATTGCACCTACATGTGCTGTAAAATACCTTGATCACAGTATTGTAGAGCAAAAAGAAAAATATGTTTCAGGCAATTTGCACCAACCTGTGCTGTAAAAATTATCAATCAGTGCCTAACAGTGAGGATTCTTTAGCAAAATAACACCTCTGGCATATACCTTTATCACAGGATTGTAGAGCATAGAAAAAAACATGTTTTAAGCATTGCACCTACACTGTACATATGCTGTAAAATGATAAATCAATGTCTAACAGTGAGGATTCCTTAACAAAAAAGCTTTGCACCCCTGGCATATACCTTGATCACAGTATTGTAGAGCAAAGAAAAAATTTTTCGAGCATTGCACCTACATGGGCTGTAATTATCATTTTAAAATGATAAATCATTGCCTAACAGTGAGGATTGCTCAGCAAAAAGGCTTTGCACCTTTGGCATATACCTTGATCACTGTATTTTAGAGCAAGGAAAATGTGAAATTGATAATTTGAGAAAGAACTGATCTGTCAATGAAAGAATCAATCTATGCCTGAAAGCAAGGATTCCTAAGTAAAATTAGGTTAGATTACCTTGAGCACAGCATTGTTCAGCAGGAAAATACAAGAAATTCGTCATTTAAAGCATTGCACCAAAATGTCTGTAAAATGACCAATCAATGCTTTACTTCTATAGCTCACTGATCCTAGCAGTATGCAAAATGTGTCTTAAATGAACTTTGTAATGGGTCTTGCTCACCATAGAGTCTCTGTGGCTCGATCAGTGGTGAGTATCGGGGCATAAAAAAAAAAAAAAAATTCTAATTAGCATGTTTATCTAACAATGGTCAAGGGGGGGAGGGAGGGGATCTCATGAAGAGATACAAGTAATTGACTGAATTTTATTTTACAACTCAATTCCACTTCCTAGAATTTAAATTCCATTCTGTGGGAGTATAGAGCTTGGTTATCAATACAAGATAAAAAAAGTACAAACCTTTTTTGAACTTTTAGGTGTTTCTTTAATGCTTCCGTTCTCCTCACTTGTTGGTGTACAGGAACTTGGGCTTGTAGATACTTTCTCCAAATCTCCGCCGCTTGCAAATTCCACGTCTACATCTGCTTCATCTTCATCCTATAACAAAGCTACAAAAGATTAATCCAACTACAAATATTGGTAAGTGATTTATTGATCTGTGTTAGTCTTGGTCTGCAGTTGGCCTTTTGTGATGCACAAACATTGAACTTAAAAATGTGCGTGCCTTATAAAGGATTAATTAAACCAATTTTTTATGACTATAAATTAAATGCATTAAGTGCGGATATCACGTGTTTATGAGTATGGATTCTTGTGCATACTTGCTGAAGATCAGCAAATTTTTCCTCATAGCTTACCATTAATCCAGAGGCAGAACCACGAGCGTGGGTACATTTCTTCGACAAGTCACGGTTGGGTCCGGAATTCAATGATTGGAACGGCTCACCTGCAGTAAATGTGCAAGCATGAAATTGCTTTTAAATAATAAGATTAGCTATGAGGCTTAGCTCATAAATAGAAAATCATAAAGGTCATAATTAGAAAATCTTTGTCGTAAATATGTAATGTAAGCTTATTTCTGTTAAGTTAAATCAGGATAAACCACACAGCGATGCAAAGTCCCTTTCAGAAAGCAAGCAGCGCAAACGATCCACACGAGGGAATCGGGTGTCCACAATTTGACTCTCCTTCGTAGAAAAATCATTGTCATTAGCGAAATGCACCGTATGATATTCGCAATAAACTATCTGTTAAATCTTTCCGCGACGCGGTTTAAACAGCATGGTAGGACAACATAGAGTCACTTTGAAGATTTTTCGTGTAGGCTGTATTATTCTGTCACCATAGAGCCATTCTGCGGAACCCTTATGCAAAGACACATCGTTGTGTAACAGTAGCTACAACTTTGTACAGTGGGTACCTCTATCTATACCGTCTACAGTGGGTACAAATAGCTACACTGTCTACAGCAGGTACAACTACTTACACTGTCTACAATACGTTCAACTAGCTGCACTGTCTACAACTTGTTAACCACATTGTCCATCCATGGAGTCTGGTTGCACTCCAACTGAATTATAGCACTCCATCTCCATTTTGCATGATTATTTTTCTTTAAGGTAGTAATCTTCTCGTGCACACAGGGTGATAATTATGTCATCATTTATTTTATTGTTTATTATTTAAATGGATGAAGTTTGTAAACCTAGAATATGCAGTAGGAGATGACAGCCTTTTAATATATATAACGTTTTTTCTCCTGACTTTTTATAAGTGGTCTTCGTGGAAAGTGTTTTGTTGACGTTTTTCCGAAAACTTGTGCACCACCGTGTCTCTGATTGATAATAAGCCTTACTTTTTCCAGTCTCGTGGTAATGGGTGTTTCACTCTGAGTGGAAAAAGGCGAAGGAAGCGGGCACGATCAGGTGTTGGTCCTTTTTCGTAACTGCTGATAATGAAATTCACACACACGTTCTACCATTTCAGTGTTGAAGGCAATTATTCTTCCTCTACGAGCAGAGCTATGGCGTATTTTTTCTCTCAGACAACAAACATCTTCGCCGGGCGGTTTGCCTACTGAAGAAACGACACAAACAAGTGCCATAACAATAACACGGGCTTACGAAGTTCGTAGCCATGTTAAGAACGCTCAACTTCAATACTAAAATTGACACCGGTGGCCAATTTTTTTTTTTTTTTGGGGGGGGGGGAAGATATGTTGCAGAGCAGACGCGAAAGAAAATTTCTTGAAAATGGGAACCCTATCTGTTGATGCTAAGGCCTATCCCCGCGAAATAAAAACAAACAATATGAAATTTAAAAATGCCGCCACATCGCCGCTATAGCGTTGCTATGGAAATACCGATATTCCCATGTCTTTTTGCTCGTAAATTTTCGCGCGCGTTAAAAGCATGCGCACTCATTTTGCCGCTGTGTCGCTTCCCCTCTAAACTGTCTGACATGCGCGCTTAAGGATGAGCTCTCAAAGATTTCTGGAATTAACCAATGTGTAACCAGGCCAGGAAACTATTACCAGGCTTTCTTCCACTGGCGGGAAAAAGTTACATGGAACAAATATACTTGCCTCAATTTCCTCTGTGGACATTTTTATAAGGTTCTTGAATCTTGTTCTTTCTTTTAAATCCGGAAAATAAAAGCGACATTTACTGACATTCAAACAAATTGTAACCAAATCACTGCAGTCAAGATAATCAGCTACAAAAGGTGCAAGAGAAAAATTGGTGAATTTAATCAGGAGCACGTGGGCCGTAACTCCGCCGCTTTTGCAAATACGATTGGAGTATGTCTACTCAAGTACCAGGAGATCGAGGCAAGTGAACAATATTGATCAATAAGAGGCTTACAACTACAATTATATCAATTTTTTATTGGAAAACCTAGCGTTGCTGTGTGTCATTTTCAATTTCCGGCAATTATATTTTGAAAGGACTATTCAACAATGCAAAACTGATTTACCACCTAATTAGTGATTTCAATGAGTTAGCCTTGCATTTCTAGTGTATGGTGTCAGCGTAAAGTGCAACCTTGGATTAAGATCATCGTATAGTGGATTTCCCTAAATTTAAAGGGGCACATCGGACCTGCGAAGCAAATCTTTGAGCAGGTGGGGCTAGAGACGAACCCGTAAACTCCAGCCAACAAGGGAAAGGGGGTGTCGAGTGAGGCGTACCAGGAAAATTTGGATTTGTCTCCTTGGAAATGTGCAGAAGTATGAAAATATACCTATGTTGATATTTGGGTCGATTTCTTGGTCGAGCTTTGTTTACAAGAGAACTGTAATAAATAGAAACCAGACAATTTTGTGATTTATTGTCAAAAATTAAATCTTAAATGATTAGTCATTAACGCTTTTAATTCGTTGAGTTCTCACAAAGGCGAGGGCAGGATAAAATTCGTGAAAAATCGTAAGCAAATCAACGAAAAGAAGAGGAGGGTAAAATTTGCCGAGAGTGTCAGGTCTGAAGACAAATAGGACGAACTCGCCAAATATTTCAAGTCTTATACTGATCGCTGGAGACTTAGCAATTTTCCATAAAAAACTCGCGGCTCTTGCGCAAAGAACAGTCTATTGTTTTTAAAGTCGCCAGATAGTCTTGTGATTGTTGCTCGGTCAATTTCGATTGCTGTGACCCTGTTCCTCCTAAGGTTTGACCCTTAAAATGAACCCATTACAAATATAATTAATGGGCTCCTGCCCTTCAGTACTAATGAACCTGGTACCTTAGTTAAACATTAACAATATAGCGGCAAAGTTTGGAACATAAATTTTTTTATTTGGGGCAAATAGATTTATTTTAATTCCTCAAAGTAACGAGAAATACATTAATATGACATCATACCTTAAGCGAGTGAACTCAACAATCAACTGAACAATTTTTGTGGGGAAAAGCCTCCTCTGCTGGTCTCAGTGAGGAGTTCAGATCGAATAAAGAGTTCTAACCCTTCTACACGGTCTTTACAGTAATCACCCGTTTAATATAATTACTCATTAAAATACCTTTTCTACAAGACAACTGTTAAACTGTCTGATACATTTTTCACCTAGATTCCTTTCAACTTTTCAAATGAGTTTTGTTACTTCAGAAAGACGGGATGCCTATACAAGTGAATTCCACGGCCACACACTTATTTTTGGGTCAAACAGAACCCGATATATTAGTTTTCAGAGAAATGGCCAACAGTAGACAGTTTTGTTTGTTAATAATTACCCTGCGTCCTTGAACACAACATCTGTCGTGGAAGGGAAAGCGGGCAATATGCTCACACTAGCATAAAAAAAAAGTTGCCAGTAATAAGAATTCACCTTTTGGGCTTCAGATTTCGCTTGTAGTGTCACGTGATTTTTGATGTAAACAAACCCCGAAAGCTCGTCTACTTCCTTATATGGAGCTTAGTTTGTTTTGTTCAGAACCGTGAAAGGTAGTTCCATAAGGTATACCAACGATGTTTTCGGCCAAGACTTCTATTGTTGTAATACTGCTGGTGTGGTTCTGGTTAACTTCTGAATGTGATGCTTGGCGAAGACGCCGTCGCCGTCGATGCCCGGTGAAAAACTGTGATATCACTTCTTGGTCATACTGGAGTTATTGCACTGCAGACCGATGTGGACAGGAAGGCTATCGAAGTCGATCAAGAGTGATAGTATCAAAGCCATCCTGTGGTGGAAAAGACTGCCCTGACAACCTTTCCGAAACTCGGCAGTGCTTTGGTAGTAAAGTAGTTGACTGCCAACTGAGCTACTGGTCAGAATGGAGCCGTTGTACAGCTTCTTGTGGCATATCAGGAACACAGTCCAGCTCCCGTCACCGAATAACTATCGAACAATGTGGCGGTACATGCTCATCTTTCCTCACAAGAACACGATCTTGCCAACTGACCGGCTGTTTCAATGGAGGAACTCTTAAAGGAGGAGTATGTTTCTGTAAAGCAGGGTTTTCTGGAGATTGCTGCCAGCTGCAAGGTAACTAGCTCAAGAAAACTAGAAATTATGAGCCCCGCACTCACACAAACACATTATATAAGCACCTTTCAATTATTGAAGCTTATTTCGAACAGGAAATTTTACTGGAAATTTTAAAATTTAGAACAGAACTAATCGGAATGTTTGTATGTTCATATATGATTTTATATCTTCACAATCAAAACAGGTCTGTGTTTAAGACATCTCTGCACCTGAGTCTACGCTTCGTACCGAAACACCGCTCATTAACATGTTTTTTTCTTACTTTCGAATAGCAGATCATTTCTCTAACACACTGTGATATTGTTTCTTACCCCTCAAAGGCCAGTCCATCATGATTCAAACTGCAATTAGGACTCAAAAACGGCTTATTTTTCAGCCCAGAATGCTTAGATAACTGGAGGCTTGTCTCTTGTGTGAACACAAGTTGAGGTACATTTTAACTCACTTGTTGTATTCAATATTATTTCTTCACCATAGTGCAAATGTCAGTGAAATCTGCAAAAGTATTACAAAAAGAAAGAAAAATAAATCGAGACCAGCGTGGATTTGACCATTAAGTTTTTTAAGCGCCCTTACAACTGAAACTGTCGAGCGCATTCCCATAGATACGAACCGCTTATGAATCGATTATTTGCGCTTCGGCAAAATCACCTGCTCACAGAGAAGTGAAGTTTAGAGACTGTAGCGTGTTAGACTTCTGTGAGACTTAAGAGCTAATGTCAGCATGCATCAGAAAAAAAGTGGCAAGTCACCCAAATTTGCTTTCACCCCTACGTTTATATTTTAGCCCAATTTGTCCTGACAATTGTGATGTAGTCTTTTTGTGAAAATATTTTAGTTTTCGAGAAATGATTTTTTTCGTTCGACTGCTCAAATATGCAAATTTTCACCGTGAATATTACCCGAGTTGTGTGACGAATATACTCGACCACCAGTATTTCTGTCAACATAATCCTTTGTTTTATCATCTAAACTTAATCCTCTGTCATTACTGGAGCTGGCAAAGTCATATTTATTTTTTGGTGAATATTTTCGTCTGACATACTTTTCCTATGACGAATAGTAGCATCAAAAGAAAGACAATTGTAACAATAACCGATATGACAGAATCTACTGAGCTTCAAGCTTTTACAACACAAAAGGATGGTTAAAAAGTTACTGTAAAAATTTCCTCGTGTAATGGTGTTGTTCTATCTTGAGACGAACTCAAATCACTACAATTTGTAACATAACCCTCTTACCTAGTTTATTTATAATTTATGAGCTGTTTCGATGATCACGTTATTCTCTATCACATTCTTGCCAAATTTGAGTTCCAGTTTTTCTATCTTCTCCATATTTTTATATCAGTTGCATGACAAGCGTGACACATAAATACAAAGAAGTATCAATCTCCGAAAAACCTAGAGATGAGTTTTTCTCCTCTTTGCGTGATATCTAGAAAAACCTTTCAGGTACTAACGCATTCAGAAAACTGAAAATGCCTCAATGATTCCTTTGCCGGCCGAAGTCAAAGAATGGTTACAGAAGTCAATTGATTGACAAGCTACATACTGATTTAGGTAATTATCTGTTATGTAAGCGTCTCATCTTTCATGCTAACATGGAAATTTACTGTTCATTTAAATCGTTCGCTGGTGGAACTTGAGGGTTTAGTTATCGAGAAGAGCGAAGTTGTACATCTCAAGTCGTTCCCTGGCATAGTTGTAAAATAGACATTTCAAGTCACGTGCGGAGTTGCAAGTTTTCAGATTCAGAAAATGATGTTGATCTTATTTTGTCGCTTGCCGGTGTCACAGCGGATTTGGACCCCCCGCGGATTTGGACACCTCGGTCCATATCTGCTAGCGGATTTGGACCCCCCCGGTCCAAATCCGCTAGCGGATATGGACCCCCCTTCGCAGATTTGGACCCCCCTACCAAACTTTCCTTTTAAGCATCCTTTGTATCATATTTGGTAACTAATTCCATTTGCAAGCTTTTTGTCGATGTTCTTTTCAATCACAACACAACATTCCTCAATAAAGGTAAAAGAGAAAACCAGCCATTTCGTTCTAATTCTACCGCATTTATTACAGCGAGTCGTACAGTATACGTAAGAATCAGATGTGAACAAACTACTGCATTTGAACTATTGAAATTGTTACGATAAATCTTTGCTTCTTCTGATGCGAATCAATATCGATACGAAACGTCATAACAATAGTGGAGACTATTGCGTCCAGTCACAAAAATAACTCAGTCTGATTTTCTAAAATAATAACATTAAACAGTTTCTGAACAAGAACGAAGAAACTACTCCTACTACAAGTCGTTCGTAAAGCCTATGATAGGTAAAAATGTTTCTATTCTGAACTATTGGAACTCTCAGCTTACTCTCAGATGCAAATCAACATTAACCAACATTAATCAGCATTAATGTCAACGTCTTAACAAAAGTGGAGACTGTTACATCGAACTCAATCTTGCTTTCTAATTTTAACGATTATTAACTGCTGACGGATCCGAAATAACACCTTAACAATTACGAAGACGTCTAGATCTAGAGTCTGGCGATCTGCAGACAATGCAGAGCCACTCGCCCTCCGGGTAGTTTTAAATCATGTGAAACCATTCCTCGCACAACTCGCACCGTACCATGTCGTCCCAACACTCGGGCATTGAACAATGACAAAATAAAGTAGTGTCACAAGTTTGTCTCCTATTTAATCTAGTGGTGTTCGACTATCGCGGAAAAGATTAAAAAACGACCTCTCTCCAGACATCAACCTAAACTCTTGCCAATTTTCCTCTGGTCAAAAGAAACATCCGACGGGATACCAGTTCGTATGCATTAACGATACGTATGTTTTGAATGAAAAACATACTTTAGTACGCACTGGAACGTAAAGTATCATCCATTTTTACTGGAACGTTAAGGATGATGTTTTCACTCAGTTTTGTTAATTGTTGGAGGGTCCAAATCCGCGGAGGGGGGTCCAAATCCGCTAGCGAATTTGGACCGGGGGGGGGGGGTCCATATCCGCAAGCGGATTTGGAACGGGGGGTCCAAATCCGCTGGGACACCGGCATCTACGAGAGGCCGACAGGTATCGATTATTTTACATTTTGCCCCACACATAAATGTTGGGTAAAGTTGTGGTTCCAATAGTAGATGTAGAGTGCCTATGTCAGGTAGAACTCATGATGTCTGGAAAACGCATATAGCCCGGCTCCGGTAAGTAGGCTACTTACCACCATGAGAAAAACTACGCTTCCAGTTAGACCTAAGTCTCGATTGGGAATTGGTCAATAGGCTACCAAAAATTCAGACAGAGGCGGAGTTTTCTATCATGATACTAATGTTTGAGCATTTTGTTGGCTTCCCGTTGTTTAGCGGGACGCGTAATTATGCACGCGGTGGTAAGGGGCCCTTCCGCACCAGCTACTGGAGGAAGACAAAACACTTCACCCAAAATCACATCAAAATTTGTCGTTGCTAAATTTCAAGTGTGCTGCATGTTATGCAGACTTAGTGCGCGGAGATGATACTATCCTAGCTTAACCCTCTACTCCACATAGCAGAGAAGGTCCTTACTAAGATACTAAGGAGCCCGTCTTTTCTTTTCGAACAGTATAGCTTAATGAGGTCCTTGATGTCAAGTAAAAACTGGACCACAGAGACTCTTTGGTGAGCTTCGCCTGCATCACTGACAGTCGATACATGCAGTCGCGTCTAGTCCTATCCGCAACACAAAAACCGAATAGAATATTGACTGCTTGAACTTGCCACGACACTTAGCGTCTCATAGGGAACTTTCCAACCTTCATCTTCTGCCGTGTTTTTCCCGAATATAATTCCAAGAGATGCGCAACACGATCGCATATCTTTCTCGCTTCAACGAATAACATCTTTCCTTATCCTCTCTAGCTGTTACCGGAGTTTACGGAAATTATTCGAAAAACTGGAATATTTTTCTTTCAAACTAATTATACATGTCGTACGTAGGGGGAGATTGGCGTTGCGGTGGATTCGGGCCAGTTGACTGCCTACTTGGTTCCTGGTCGGAGTGGGGTCCTTGTGCGACAATATGTGGTGTAGGAGGTAAGCAGACCAGCACCCGTCGCCGACTGATTAGAGAGCAGTGTGGAGGTACATGCCCCGGTGCATTTAACTTAACAATAACACGAGCCTGTCCTCAGATCAGATGCTTAAATGGAGGCAGCTTAATGAATGGAGCATGTATATGCAAAGCGGGATATTCTGGTGATTGCTGTGAAGACGATGAGAACACTAAGAAAGGTAAAGTCCACTCAGAAATATGAATAACTGCATTTGTTATATACATAGACTTTCACTCAACAAAACGAGCATTGTGATTTGTTGATTTTTGGTCACGTCCCCCTTACCACCATGAGAAAAACTACGCTTCCAGTTAGACCTAAGTCTCGATTGGGAATTGGTCAATAGGCTACCAAAAATCCGGACAGAGGTGGAGTTTTCTATCATGATACTAATGTTTGAGCATTTTGTTGGCTTCCCGTTGTTTAGCGGGACGCGTAATTATGCACGCGGTGGTAAAGGACCCTTCCGCACCAGCTACTGGAGGAAGACAAAACTATTCAACCAAAATCACATCAAAATTTGTCGTTGCTAAATTTCAAGTGTGTTGCATGTTATGCAGACTTAGTGCGCGGAGATGATACTATCCTAGCTTAACCCTCTACTCCACATAGCAGAGAAGGTCGTTACTAAGATACTAAGGAGCCCGTCTTTTCTTTTCGAACAGTATAGCTTAATGAGGTCCTTGATGTCAAGTAAAAACTGGACCACAGAGACTCTTTGGTGAGCTTCGTCTGCATCACTGACGGTCGATACATGCAGTCGCGTCTAGTCCTATCCGCAACACAAAAACCGAATAGAATATTGACTGCTTGAACTTGCCACGACACTTAGCGTCTCATAGGGAACTTTCCAACCTTCATTTTCTGCCGTGTTTTTCCCGAGTATGATTCCAAGAGATGCGCAACACGATCGCATATCTTTCTCGCTTCAACGAATAACATCTTTCCTTATCCTCTCTAGCTGTTACCGGAGTTTACGGAAATTATTCGAAAAACTGGAATATTTTTCTTTCAAACTAATATACATGTCGTACGTAGGGGGAGATTGGCGTTGCAGTGGATTCGGGCCAGTTGACTGCCTACTTGGTTCCTGGTCGGAGTGGGGTCCTTGTACGACAATATGTGGTGTAGGAGGTAAGCAGACCAGCACCCGTCGCCGACTGATTAGAGAGCAGTGTGGAGGTACATGCCCCGGTGCATTTAACTTAACAATAACACGAGCCTGTCCTCAGATCAGATGCTTAAATGGAGGCAGCTTAATGAATGGAGCATGTATATGCAAAACGGGATATTCTGGTGATTGCTGTGAAGACGATGAGAACACTAAGAAAGGTAAAGTCCACTCAGAATTATGAATAACTGCATTTGTTATATACATAGACTTTCACTCAACAAAACGAGCATTGTGATTTGTTGATTCTTGGTCACGTCCCCCTTACCACCATGAGAAAAACTACGCTTCCAATTAGACCTAAGTCTCGATTGGGAATTTTGTGACTGTGATTTGTGATTTGTTGATTCTTGGTCACGTGCCCCTGATCACATTCAAATGTATCCCGACCGGGAGACGATCGCGCAGTTGTTGCCTGCGCACGGAATACAACAGCACGTTTGTTTTTGCCATATATGATTGTTTAAGGGAAAGTCTAATTATATGACAAAAAGCACTTGATGTATATTCCCTCGGGAAACTAGTTGGTTTTGTTTTTTCTCGAGTCCTGATCTTTCCGAAAGGTCTGGATAGAAGCAGATAAAAACATGTTTCCACAGTTCTTCTGTCATCTTCAGTTCTTCATATAATATAATAATATTTAATATAACTTAATTTAATTTAGATTTTATTGAATTTAATTCATAATTTCATTTAATTTAAAACTTTCCTTGTAAATGCATATATTGTTCTGACATAGTTTGATGTTACTCTGGTTTACAGATTTAATGAATATAACCAAAGAAGTTACGATTCATAGACCCAACGTTTCGACACTCCTGTCTAGTGCCTTCATCAGGGGTGATCTAAACGCTGCAATAAGAGGTCCTTTTATATGATCACTAATTAGCGGCCTTTTTTCTGACAAGGTGTGAATAGGCGTCAGGAAGCAAACCAGGAAGCAAGAAAGGTTTTTTTGTAGCCATTTACCTTTAGGGCATTAGAAACATATTTCCTCTCCTCAGCCTTCGAATCGAGTGAAGATGGTAGACAGTCAGCCCTCCTGAGTAAAGTTTTGGCTACAGACTTTTTATGGCGAATAGGGTGTTGAAAATCGAAAGCGAGGTATTTGTCGGTGTGGGTAGGTTTACGATAGACACTTGTTTCTAAATTACCCTGAACCCCTCTGGACACATTTAAATCAAGAAAGGGCAAATGTCTATCCTTTTCACGCTCAAGGGTGAATTGGATCGACCACCTCCGCTCCGGTTAAATTCTTAAAATGTTTTGAAAAATATATCTTATTGCTTGAAAAGCGGCTAACTGATCATTCAAATGACTTTCCTGTTGATCTGGATCAAATTTTTCATTACTTATCATATTTCTTCTCCTTTTCAGATACAGATACTGACACAAGCTCATACAAAATCACGGTCGAGTTGTTGGTGTCGGTGTCGGGACGCTTAGCTTTCATCGCCATTATCCTATGTGTGTATTGGGTTTGCTGTAGGGGATGAACCCAGGCCTCGAAAATCAATGCGGATCTATCGAAAGTTGCCTTTTTGACCTTTTACACAGTATACTTAGTGTTAAGCTTAAAACGCTACATGCAAGATGAATTAAGTCATATGTTTGTAGAGCTCCTTTAATTAAAATTGTGTAAGGACAAGCCTATGCCTAACTACTTATTTGAAAGGAAAAGTGAAAAAATGGGCGAGCGAAACATGGTGTAAGCGATAGCCTGTTACAAGTTATTCAAGGACTCGAACCGGGATTCTAGTCATCAATCGATTTACGCTCGAACTAGTTAATCAGTTAGGGGAATATGCTTATTTTCCTACCCTTTACTGTGTTCAAACTTCTAATGAATGGAGCCTTTAATCAACACCACATAGACGAAGATTTTCACATCTTTTACCATGAGTTATAAAACTCATAGCTTTCTTTCTCTTAAATTAAATTATATATTTATAATAATAAATTAAATATTGCTTCTTAAGAAAAAGGGATCACCGAGCTCGTTCACGAGCAAATGACAAATCAACCGAGCGCGATTTCAGGCCCTAATAACAGCCGCCATTTTGTCAAGGAGCGCGCAACCCATCCGCAACGCATCGTGCGCAGTAGGGAGACGCAATCGGCAAGACTTTGAATTAAACAGGTTTATTGAATCTCTAAAAACTCCATCGACGTTGATGCATAAATGTAAAGTATCAAAACTTAAAATTTAAATTATAAATTATTTTCCATGTATATGTTGTTTGACCGCGGTGTACTCTGAATGAAATGTTACCAATGATAAAACCCGAGTGCAACGTTAATATCATGTAAAGCTGGTTAGAATTCTCACTCGAATGATGGCGCAAGTCATCAAGAGATTTTTAAGTATCTTTGCATTGAAATGGCCTTTTAGGCTGCTTTTTCTCAATATAACCAGGTGATAATTTTACTCCGCCCTAAATTCCAAACCATATCCTCTCTGTGTGTTTATCCATGAAAAGTTGCATACATCACGAATTAATCAACGTGATCCTCTTTTGGATTCAGTAAATACAACTTGTGCTGACAAAGAAAAGACAAAAGATGTGTTTTGCATCAAAACCAATTGACTTGCACTGGTTTTTCTCTTGAATGGTGCTCACATACCTCTGAACTTAAAATGCGTCAGAGAAGACCATCCCAGTATTTATCCAACATTGAAAGTGCATTAGGAGTGTGCTTAAGCTTTAAGAAGTTTCATGTAAATTCATAGCGTTCAATAAGCCGACACAAGGCTAATGAAGAGTTTTTTTGTGCTCGTCCTTCAATTTTTTCTCATTTATACTGTTACAAAATGATTTCGAGAGCAATTTTTATTCAACCAGCACGAGTATATTTGGCAACGATTATGACCGAAAAAACGTAGAAGTCAGAAGGCTCTCGAGAGCCTATCCCAAAGTGTCTTAGAAATATTTGATTAGCACTCTTTGTTTCAACTTTTGAACCAAATTGCAACTTTATGATCGACTTGGGAATAATTTGCATTCTCTTAGCCATTGGACATGTTGAAATTTCCGCAATAATTGCATCATTGATGATATTTAGTGAATACACGATTAAGATTTTTACCTTAGTCTGTCTCCTATTCCTTGAATGCGAAACCTTTATATCCCCTTTAAGGCTAAAGAAACGTCATGAAGTAATCACACTTCTTTAGAAGAAAGGAGACACCTCATTTCTCGTTGTTTCTGTGGTTTATGTGGTTTATGGCCCTGTTCTCCGAGGCATACTGTAGTGCAGTAAATGTCGGGGGAGAAGGGAGGGGAAGTGAAAGATTGAGTATATAAAAAACAGGTAAATATCTTTTTTACCCGTGCGGAAATTATTTCTTCAGCGTCCGGCGCATTTCTAATCAAAATATTGATAAGACTACCGGACAAAGACTCATACTTCGAAACAGCAAAGAATCAATAGAGAGTTTTAATTTCACATCAAATGTTGTCATCAAAGGAAATTCTATTTCGTAACCACTGATTAAAAGCCGCAATGTTTCTTTTTTGTTTTGGAGGCGAGCTTAGCTATTTTAAGTTACCTAGTCAGTGACCGTTATATTTCTTCGATCATTCGTTACATGATTTGAGGAGAGAGAAACTCCAGTTCACGCAATCGAATTTCATGCAATGCAAGTTAGACCAAAAAAAATATGATGTTTTTCCACTGGAGTTGGTTTGGTAGCGTTATTACAAACTATCACTGTCATGGTTCGACAGCAATAACAAAATACTTTTGCTCTCAATTTTTGCGAAACAACGGATCTCATTGGGTGGACAGTAACATGTATGACTCACTATAATGCATAGATAGTTTTGACAAGAGTTGAGCATAGCAGGACAAATTCATCTTAATAACCATGACGAAATTTTTAAACGTTTAACGGACAAAATTGATAGTCATGACAACGACTAGCCTCTGTTCCTGGTACAAACAACAAAATCATTGCTGACTGCACTGAGTAGTGCTTTATTTGAAATGAACTGCTGCCTATATGCGTACTTTTTTATATCACTCGAAGGTTCTTGAAGATAGAAGCTGCATTCCGCTCAAGATCATTCCTCCATCGCTCAACACTTACACCTCCCGTTTTTATAAAACCACCACGAATTTGACAACGAAAGCTTCACTCAAAAAGGTGTTAGGATGCCTGAAAGCACACCTTTATTGACCCCGGTGAAAATGACAATTTCAATTTTCAATCGGCGAGATATCGATAATAATACTTGGGCGCGCGTATATATGGGATTTCGCTTCGAGTGTTTAACTCGATAGCTCATAAGTGAGATGTATCGTTGACGGGTGAGAAGTATCGTTGAAACGATCTAAAATGCACTGAAACACTAAAAAAATAAACAATGGGCGTAATTTTCAATAAACAAAATTCCCAGTTCTTGACCAGGTCCTTACCGACAGGAGATACCTTTCGGGTACACGGTCAAAATCGGCCTGCGGCAAATCTTTCAGTTATCGATTTTCCTTCTCGGCCGCGAGAAAAGCCATTATGTCTCTAACTAAAGCGTGGAATCTAGCTAAAAATCGATATAATGAGTAAATATATTCGTTGACATGGGAAAACAGCTTTCGTTTGAAATATACATCGCTATAAATAAAAGGTGGTGAGGTTCAAAATTCTGTTGGTGATGTTGCTGACTGTCATTCAGAAAACAAATATCGCAGAGTAGTATTCCAGAGTTGATTCATTCGGGCAGTTAAAATCGTTAAGATCTATATCATTACCTGTAATGGGAAAGTTCCGTTTCTGTAATACTGTACATTATCATCTAATTGAAACTTATTTTTTATTTTGAACCTTGGACTGCGTTTCAAAAAAATTTATCCATTTTGAGGAATGTTTTTTGAAATATTTCGTTTTTGGTGTATTTGGAAAGGAGCTCTAGCAGTGGTTCTAAATTCATCCTTCGTAGGGTAAACGGGGCATTGATTAAGAGGTTATGAATACAGTAAGACATAGGTCTTGCCACTGGATTATAAGGAAGCTAGCAGACACTTAACAGTTGCCAACCTCTAAATATTACCTTCTTTCTCACAGCAGTTTCCACCAAAGCCTTTCTTACAGACACATGTTTCACCTTCTAAACTTCCTCCGTTTAGACAACTCGTGAGAGGACAGACTCGTGTTTTATAGAAGGTGGACGTACATATTCCTCCACAATTTTCTGTTCTTATGGCGAGAAGTTTTCTGTTTCCCTGATACGCCACAGACAGTAGTGCAAGCGCTCCATTCTGACCAGGAGCTTAAGTGACAGTTCATCGGTTTATATCCATAACACAGCCGTGTTTCATCCAGATCAGGGCACTGCGCTCCCCCACAATTTGGCGAGGACTGTACAGTTCTTGATCGTCTTTGGGATCCTTGTTGCCCACACTGATCTGTGCTGCACGTGCTCCAGGACGACCAAGAACTACCTTTGCAGCTTCGCGGAGTACAGCGACGTCGTCGACGCCTTCGCCAAGCATCACAATCAGGAGCGATAAGAAACAAAACCATCAGCATAAATACAACGAAATTCTTAGCGAAATACATTGTTGGTAGACACTCGGGAATCACAGCTTATCCCAAACAAGAACGAAGTTCAATGCCGGATATTTGGGAATCTTCCGCTTTTACAATCAATCGTGGTCTTTTAGTAATATATCAGACCTTTCTCGTTTCTAACCAGTTAAAAGGGCAACAAATTCAATAGCTTTTGCACTGACGAAATTTAGATGTATTCCTCATTTGATTGGCTGCATGATCATTGTCTGTTCAGGGGGAGAGGGGTGGGCAGGGAGTGGGGTAGAAGCAAAATTTTCAATACGATGCATCGGAGTCTGGATAACATTTTTTAGTGAAACAAAAAGTGGAGTTGATCATGATTTCTTGTTTGAAATATCTTGCGCTTCTCTTGATGATAATTCTGGTGACTGCTAGTCAAGCCCACTTGCAGCCAATGTCAACTTTTTTCTGCTCCAAATGTAACATTTCCTATAAGAGAATTCCATCTTCATCGAATGCGCACCACAGGAAGGACAATCGAATCACGGAAATTGCTACTGACACTGGGAAAAGAAGCGATTCTTGCTTTCGTTTTGTTCTTGCGCGGCCCAGCGAAGGTAAGACAAATTAGATATTGTTAGGTCTAAACAGATAGTTCTGTTGCGCCTACTAAATTTTTTTTATGAAGTCTTGAAGGTAAACATAAGTGTAATGAAAATGAAACGATTTCGGACTCCATCGAATCCCTCCAGAAATATTAGTCGCTGTTCATTAGTCTTTAAAGGCGAAAAGCATGAAAGATTGCCTGTTTGTGTCAGTTTTAAACTCAAGTTACAATGTGTGGATATGCTGTGAAAAAAAAAGCGAAAAATTATAGATTTGTACGAAAGTGAGTAAAATTAAATCACAAGAGCGTAGCAGTCGCAAGGCTGCCTCGATCTAAAACATGCCCTGAAAAGATACTTTAAT